TATACGGTGAATAGAAAGCTTCCTTCTTCTTCTTCTTTTTTTTTTTTTTTTTCTTTTAGTAAAAAGAAAGCTTCATTCTAACTAGTAAAAGAAGAAAACGGTTTCGCTCTAATCGTATTCTTAGCAATAATAGAGATAAACACGAAAATCTTTTCTTATATGCAAGCCGCATATCATATATTCTTACAAAGTGGGGCTTTAATGTTAATAAATACCATCAAATTGGATTTTCAACTTCCTCTAAATTAATCATATATTGGAGAAATATTGTTGTTATTATTAAGGGTAATAATTTGGGTTTACACAATACAACACAAATTTGGCACGAACACGAATATACTCAATACGAACAAACATAAATTTATAAAGAGGTCAAAACTTTCACAAGAATATGATCGATCTATTTTGTAGGTTGACACTACAAAACATGAATAATCCGCCAACCTCAAAGTGTGTCGCTTATTATGTCAGTTGACATGAGTCACATGACACAACATGAATAGCATGTTAATCTCAAAGTGTGTAGTTTATTGTGCGGGTTGATACGACATAACAAGAATAACATGTAAAAAGATTAATGTGAATCAATTTTATATTTGTGAATTGACGCGCGACATGATATGATTTTTTTTTCGTGTCAGATTTTACCAATATGAACACAACACAAATTTAAAAACGGGTACCCAAATACAAAATTTTAGTGTCGTTTTCATGTCGTGTCAGCGAGTCGTGTTGAAAATTTTCATTTCTAATATTATTTAGGACTAACTTAATGCAACCTATAATAATAATAAAAAAAAATCCAATGCCTTGTCAAATATATTTTTAGATGACCTAAATCTATGTTTACTTTAACTTTTATACTTACAAAATTCAGTAGTTAACTTATAAATTCGTCCATGCTCATCTATAAAGTTTGATGACACTAAACCTCTATACAATAATAACATTAGTGTGTTGCACCTCACACCGTTGGACTACAGATCAAGAGGCCCACGCGGATAAGGGTGAAACCCAATTACTTAATGGATTATTTGCAATAGTCAGTTAATCTTTAGTCTTTATTCAATGTAAGAAGATGATGGGAATACTTCCCAAGTGATTGTAATCAGCATGTGATTAGTGAGTATATAGCCCATGAAGGGCGTGAATGAGAAAATATGAAATAGATGGACAACTTTCTCTCTTCTGAATTTCCCCTTCCTCTCATTCCCTCTCCTTCTCTCTCTTTTCAGATCTGAACCCTTACAATTGGTGCTTTCATTCGATCTTTTCCTTCCTGCCATGGCTGACAACACTAGGATGCGCGAATTGCATCAACGTTTGGAGACCCTTGAGCAACAATTTCAAGCTGCTGAGCTTGTGCACAAACAATAGCACGCGGCTCTCCAAGAATCTCAAACTCAGTTACATGCTTCTCAGCAACAGATTCAGGAATCTCAGAATCGTTGCCATCACGACCTCACTCGCCTGATTGAACTCCAGCAAACATCATCCATCAATCGAGGAATTTTAGGCTCCAGTCCCAGCGGGAGCACTTCTTCTAGTTCTGACAATTTCAGATCCCGTCAAGTTAAGCTTGATTTTCCCCATTTTGCTTCTGGTGACCCTACTACTTGGATCATAGCTGTTGATAGGTATTTTACCTTCTACCAAGTTCCAATTCCCGATCGTTTGAACCTAGCTGCCTTTCATTTAGATGAGCCAACAGCTAGCTGGTTTTATGGATCTGACCAAAATGGGTTACTACCTGATTGGCGTACTTTTTGTACGGCTTTACATAGACGATTTAGGCCTTTTGAATTTGAGGACCCTGCTGGTTCTTTGGCTAAAATTCAACAAACGGCTTCAGTCCTTGAATACCAGTCTTCCTTTGAAAAACTTGTGAGTAAGGTTCCAGGACTTTCTGCCACGCTGCTGCGTAGTATTTTCATCTCTGGTTTGAAAACATACATTCGTCGCTCGGTTCTGCCTCTCAGGCCCGTCGATTATCACGAGGCGTTCTCTCTAGCCCGTGTATATGAGGACCAGTTTAATGAACCACGCTCCAACCGCCCCTGGCATAATTCCCACAAACCTCTCAATATTGTATCCTCTGCACCCATGTCCTTAACGACAACCACTACACCTAATAACCCTATCCCAGCCATACCCATACGTCGTTTATCCCCTGCAGAGAGGCAAGAAAAAAAGGACAAAAATTTTGTTACAATTGCGATAAGAAATATTCCTTTGGTCACAAATGTAAAGGACGCGCTGTCCTCTTGCATTTGGAAGGTACTAAGGAGGATTTGGATCATGACCCTGACCCTGTTAATTTGGAAAATCAGGAGCTATTTAGCCCTCACGCAGTCACACCAGAAATTAGCTTCAATGCTCTCTTTGGGCATCGAAATTCCAGGTCCTTTCGCTTAACTAGTTCTATTAAGGGTAAGCCAGTTCAGATTTTAATTGATGGGGGTAGTACCTATAACTTCATTACTGCTTGAATGGCCACTTTTATTAACCTAACTATGCAGCAGGTTAAGCCGTTTCAAGTTCAGGTTGGTAATGGCCATACACTTCATTGCACAACTTCTTGTGCTGCGGTTTCTTTGACTCTACGGACCTCTACAATTTTGGTGGACTTGTTTGTGTTGGACCTTAAAGGTGCTGATGTCGTTCTGGGCATTCAGTGGCTCTCTACACTTGGGCCAACAGTCACAGACTATTCTTTACTGACCATGTCGTTTACTCACAATGGCACTTCCATACTCCTTCACGGTGATAACAACCTTTCTCCCTCCCAAATTTCCAAGGCCCAATTGCATAAGCTTGTGTCCCAAAATTTCGTTTCCTCCTGTTTTATGAGCCTCGCCAGCAACCTTCCTCCCGACAACCTCCCCATTTCCCCTCCCACTACACCTCCACAAATTCAACTCCTATTGAATCAATTTTGTGATGTCCTTGGAAACATCATTGCCTTACCACCGGATAGATCTTCCAACCACACCATTAGTCTCCTACCCAATTCTAAACCTGTACAGGTTCGCCCTTACCGATACCCGCACTTCCAAAAAATGGAGATTAGGAGAATGGTACGTGAGATGTTGGATATTGGCATCATTCGTCCCAGCCAGTCCCTTTTCAGTTCACCCGTCTTGTTGGTTAAAAAGAAAGATGGCACTTGGCGATTCTGTGTAGATTATCGTGCCCTCAATGCCATAACTGTTCCTGATAAGTTTCCCATCCCTACGGCGGACGAACTGTTGGATGAATTACATGGGGCTCAAATTTTTTCCAAGCTTGACTTGCGCTCGGGCTATCATCAGATTAAAATGGCACCCAGTGATATTCCTAAAACTGCCTTTAGAACTCATAGTGGGCACTTCGAATTTTTGGTGATGCCTTTTGGCTTGTCTAATGCGCCCTCAACCTTCCAGGCCACCATGAATCATGTCTTTACTAGATTTTTACGGAGATTTGTTGTCATCTTCTTCGATGACATATTGGTGTACAGTCCCTCTTTACAGACCCATGCGGATTATTTGGAACAAGTACTCCAGACACTGCGCCAGCATCAATTTTTTTCTAAGTTAACTAAGTGTTCTTTTGCTGTGCAGGAAATTCAGTTTTTGGGGCATATTATTTCAGCCTTGGGAGTTTCCCCTGACCCCTCCAAAATACAGGCTGTTAGGGATTGGCCTATTCCTCATTCTGTCACCCAACTGCGGGCCTTTTTGGGTTTATCAGGCTACTACCGCAAATTTATAAAGGGATATGCTTCGGTGGCAGCCCCTTTCCCGGACCTACTCTCTAAGGATGCATTTGTGTGGTCGGTGACGGGAATACTTCCCAACTGATTGTAATCAGCATGTGATCAGTGAGTATATAGCCCACGAAGGGCGTGAATGAGAAAATATGAAATAGTTGGACAACTCTCTCTCTCTTCTGAATTTCCCCTTCCTCTCATTCCCTCTCTTTCTCTCTCTTTTCAGATCTGAACCCTTACATAGTGTCACAAAAAATGCCATTGTTCTATTGGTCGTCAACTGTTTTAGGTACTTTAACTAATACAGGTTACTGACCCAAAGTTTGAAAAATATCACCAATAAAACCTCTAGTCATGAAATAAACGATCAATTACTTTCATCTCGATAGAATGAAATGTTCAACCGCTCGGTTGGTGCCGGGAAATAAAGCAAGCGGAGATAAGAGTATGTATTTGATCTTCTTCAGTATTATCTTTGGAAGGGATTCAAAATCTTAATCCTGGGACTTGCTCTCTCGAAGCGATGAACCTATTAGAATATCTCCAAAAAAAAAAAAAAAAAAAAAAAGAACTGGTCAATAACAAAGGAAAATTATTGTTATTTTGCAAGCAAACGAATTCTTGAGTGTTGGATAAAAGATTTGGATTCGGTAATTTCCTTCCATCTCAATTACTTTTCGCTTTTTTCTCATGAATGATTTTCATGGGCATTTATTTCATTAGTGCCAACCAAATTTGTTCTGAATTGGTAAAAAATAAAACATCACACTAAGTAAATAGCAATCCTCCAAATGAAAGGTAAAAACTATAGCCAATATGTTATCCTAGTATTTAAGTGCTTATTTGGATTTTCTTTTTATAAGCTAGAGCAGACAGGTTTTAAAAAAAACTCTTATAATAAAAAACTCTTTTTTTATAATGAAGAAAAAAGTCAAAAATCAAAAGCTCCTAGGAGGAGCTTTTTTTTAAGCTTTTATCAGTTTTTCTTGAATTGTGTGTTATTTTTTTTAAATGAAGAACTATAGAAATAGAGAAAGAGAATTTTCTTGACATATGTGCTTTTAAGCTAAAATTTTTATGTAATCATCAAACAGCTTTTAACTTTTTTTATTAAGTTTTTTTTTTTTTTAACTTTACCTTATACATGGCTTCTGGCTTAAAAAAAAAAATATCGAAATATGCTCTAATTATAACACTCTTAAAAGAGAACAAGAAATCCATGTTAAAATTGATCACTGCCTTGTACATATCATATAACACAATGGGTTGAAAAGAGTGACAGTAACCCAATGAAAATGAATATCCCAGTCTCCAAGCCATGTGCTGAACCATCTTCAGGTGCAGGATATGGAGAGTTTGCATCAGGAGTGGGAGAAGAAGTAGGAGGAGGTGTAGAAGAGTGTTCATCATGAAGAAAGGGGTAAATCTCATATCTTACTCTGCATATCCCGCTATATACTCTCACTCCCTCTTTTTTCTCATCACATGCTTTAAGATAAGCAAGTGAATCATTAAGGCATTCATTGCAATCCATTCTAGAGAGGTCTCTATTGCACTGTGCATACCCATAAATTGTGCTATACTCATCAATCTCTGATTTTCCAGTTGCATACAAATTTGGGTCCAAAACAGCTTCCTGAGAGATTATGCTTAGAAACTCTTGTGTCTTTTGATCAAACCACTCAGGACTAGGATCACTCACATTATTTGTGGACGTCAAGCATAACATAGAATTATGCATGGTTTGGCCAAAGTAGTCCTCGTTTGAGTACTCTACTGTGCAATCTTCATGCAAAATCATGGCTACTTTGTTATATGGACAGTCTTTGAGCATGTCATTGATTGCTTGTTCAACACAGTTGCTACAATCCATGGGAGAGAGATCACCACGGCATAAAGCCAGACCATGAGTTCGGTTTTCGCCTTCACCCTTCGAACCAACAGCGAAGCCAGTAGATGGAGCTTCGTTCTTAAGATAACTCAGAAGAGCATTTAGGCTCGTTTCATAAGGGTCTTTGCAGGAATAGTTTTCAGACATTGAACAAATATGCATGAGCTCTTGTCCTAAAACAGTATTGTGAAAGAGGGTGAAGGTTGAAAAAAGGAGTATAAAGAACTTGCAGAAATCCATCTTTGTGAGTATGGTTTTCAATCAAAGGTTGCAACTGTTGCAGAAAGTAGTGCTAATATATAGCCATATGAGTTGGATTGCTTTAGCTCTAAGAGGCACATTTCAGGGGACACAATTGTATTACTATTTCTTGAATAGTTTCTATTTTTCTTTGTTGTATTATTACACAACCAATCCTGTGAGTATTTGAGTTTTGTTTAACAATGTTAGTTATAACTTATTAATTTCCTTTGGTTCTTCTACCTTTTGATGAGGAACATGGTTTTAAGATGAATAAATTATTCAGCCGGCAATGTACTGAAAAATACTTAATCATAGACTAATTTTATTTAGTTTACTTTTCGCACTAATTTTACACTCTCAGATAAACAAAAAGTCAGGGCTAACAACTACCAATTAATCTACTTTTGTAATTTCACGTAATTACATTCTCAGCAACTATATGACCCTTGGTACACTATATTAGATAGAAAGAACCAACACTTGGTCACAGGCAATACTTATGTCAGTGCATGTAAGTCAATTCTTCATCTTTGCATTCTCTGACAGCAACTTCCAGTTGGTCACGAGCACTAGATGGCAATACATCACAACAGTGTCTTCTTGGAGCCTGCAACTGAATACAAAAAAAAAAAAAATTATTAAGTATTATGAACAATGTTAAGGCATTGTCCTAATAGCCCTCAAGGAATACCAGTGTCCGATATAGTTACCCGTTTGATGTCAAGGTCTAGCTTATTTGTGAGCACTTTGATCACTTCCAGTTTCTTCGGTGATACCATGTTATCTGAGCAATTCTGAAAAGATTTCTTATAACTGCTTATGATGCCATCCTTACCAGAAGACACATTGTCCAGATAGAAAACAGTGGATCTTTTACATGGGTCAGGGTGGAGTCCTCTTGTGTTGAAAGTATATGCTTTTGCCAACATATTTCCTTTCTTCCACTGCTTGAATGTCTCTCGCACATTCAGAACTTCCGGTAAAAACATATGGTTGGGGAATATCTGAACAGCATAGCCCCATGACACTGAAATTGTCCATGAAAACCATCTGTCATAGCAAATTGCTTGTTGTAGCATCCTTTGGGAATCAACATTTACCGCTTCAAACAAGTGTTTCAGAGCTTGTGTTGTTGTCATGTTTGGAAAGATTGGATCTGTGTAATCCAAGTGATGCAAGGACAACAAGGGAGTTAATGGATGTGCAGCCAACAGGCCAAAGGTATCTCCCCGCAAATCAACCTGACCCAATTTCATAAACACAAATAATAGAAGATTAATAAGTTAAAAAGAACCATCTCAACCTAGCAACTCAAGCCTATAAATGATGGGCTTTCAATGATTTTATATTATATCTCTCTAACAATAAGGCTATCAACTAAAGGAAGAAAATCAAATAACCAAAAAATGTCAGCATTTCAAACTATTTGTTTTACCTGGTGAAAACCGGGTTCATGTGTTAATCCTACACCAAGTTCTGCTAAACAAGTGTAAACCCTGCCATCACTTCCATAGAGATGTGGGTACCTTTCTATACACGAATCAAAAACCTTGACCAAGACTTTTGCCAGAGAGGAACTGATAGCAAAGCCAGCACCACCAAAAGCCATTCCAAAACCAAACAACCTGTTCTGCTCATAAACCTCAGAGTGCGCACCAATATAGTACCAAAGCCCATGATCATATTTGGAAAGAGTCTTAACCACATTCTCTGGGAAGAAAACCGTGTCATCATCTCCAAACACATACCATCTAACATCTGAATGATTATTCATTGCTATAGTCTCAGCAACAACACGTGCCACGCGTATTGCTGACCTTAGTCCACCTTTGCAAGTGTAGCGAAACCTTGAAGTGTCTTCAGAGACACAGAGAGGAGGAAGAGAAGTATCATTCCTAGCATCATGATCTTCATCTGGGAGGCTATCCACAAACACACATCCCTTCGTTGCATTGTTTCTTTGCCACCACAGTTTCACATACTCCTTCCTCTTAGGCCAGGAACTCTTGCTTGAAGCAATTCCAAACACAAGATGATCAAGAGTGGTAGGTGTGGACACATCTTGTGATGAAGAAGAATGCACATGCACTAGCTTTGATGTCCCCAAGAGTAGCACTGACACAAGGACATAAAGAACAATAAATGAAGAAGAGATTAAGATGAAGTTAATCAGAGACTGGGCTTTGGCAGGTTTGTGAAATAACTGCATATTTAACATGGGGAAAAAAAATGGATCTTGTTCTGCAGATGCAGAAGATTATTATTGGTGTTATACCTTAACAGGGTTCATGTCCTGTGTGTGAGACTATATAATTAAAACAAAGATCTACCGCAATCCACGGCGTAAGAAAGCTGCTAATTTTAACGCTTCAAGTTTGTTAATCTTCCATGTTAATAACTAGGGTTGGTTTGCAAGAAGAAAACTCATGCCCCTTTTCCAATTAGATTTGCACGGCTGGTTAGTGAGGTTTGTTGGTTATTGGATACAAGTCAAATATTTGGAATAAGTATGCATTGACTACAGAAAGAGGTTGGCCACCTTTCAAGTAATGGGTGTCCTGTTCTACGCAACAACTTAAGTTCTTAGGTTTGGCCAATGCATTTATCAGTCACAAGAAATAGGTGGGCATAAAACAATAACATGGTCCACGTGTAATGTTGGTTAAACAATTCAGGTCTGAAAGCACTATTCTGCTATTATTTTTACACGTATGCTTTTAGCTTTTTCTATCATATTGTATGTTTATAAGTTTTCCTTCTCCTCTTTTCCCCCTTTAAAATGACAGGTTTATGTTATCAAAAAAAAATGACAGGTTTAACTCACAAGATGTGCTAATATCACTGTCTCCTCAGCCATTCCCAGAATGAACTGTTCAAATATATCTACCCACATGCTTATTTCTTTGACTAGGTATTTAGTTCGCATTCTAGAGCATTGAATTAAGATAATGCACAAAAATAATATTAATACTGGTGTCACATGCTTATTTGTCTTCAACTTACTGTCTCTTGGGATTAAAAAAAAAACCTGAGTGAAGCAATAATTTCTACTTAACAAAATCGAGAAAAAGGACAGAAGTAATTGGACTGCTTGAGTCGAAACTTGCAAGATGCGTATGTTACGGCGTAGAACTTTGGAAGCTTAATGCTATGCCAGTCACCGAGTGTGAAAGGATTCAAGCCCCTAGGACAAGGACTTGCGACAAGAATGATATATTACCACATAACTTGGAAATAAAATATTATAGAGCTTAGTAATAGGAGATGCCCGGTTTCACACGCAAATGTAAATCGGTTTCATATCTCAAATGCATCAAAATAAATTCATCATTAGCGGTGAAAGTATTTCTAACAGTCTGGTTAATGCTTATAGAAGCACTACAACTATGCAGCCAGCAAATATTTACATAATTTTCAGACAAATCACTAGTTATCATATAGAGTGCATTAAGACATGGTGCTCATTAGGATCACACTCCCCAGATTAAAATTGGTCTCTTACATCACTCCAAACATGGAGCTTCCCTGAAAATTTTAGCACCAGAAATGCATAGGAATGCATGTAATAACATGTACAACTGCAGGGATATAAGCCATTTGAAAGGCACAGCTACTCAGCAAAAAAAAAAAAAAAAGCCGTGCAACAGAAGCAAGTTAGAGGTTGATCAATTGTCAGTCAAAGTAAAACCAGCCTGTGAGAGGTAGATCACCAACAAGATCTTTTAGTTATCTTCACGTGCATATTTTTCTTCTACAAAGAGGACAAGGATCTCTCTACTGCAAAGAGGATGGGGAAATAGAAATCAGGAAAGGAAAGCCTAATAAGAATATTTTCAGAAACATAACACACTACTTGCTGTCCTATGGAGGCATTCCTTGTTGAATAAAATCACTGCCCATAAAACCCTGACTAGCAAAGATGGAGTGAGGACAATTCTTGTACACAACTTTAACCTTGCATATTTGGAAAGATATTATTTCCTAGATTCAAACCCATGACCTTTCAATCACAAAAGAACAACTTTATTACTGCTCCAGGCTCGTCCTCTTATTATATCCTTGTTGAATGATATAATAAAAATAATCAAGAATTAAAGAATTAAAAAAATCTATTTACCTTCTATTCAACTTTGAAACTAAGAAGATTATTCAAATTCAACATGAAACTATCCTATTAAAACAAAGTTCTAAGATCAACCTAAAAAAATAAGCATCCACCTCATATCACCTTCAACATGGGATCAAACTCCTCCAAAGATTCGTCCTCGTGAAAATTTCAAAACTTTCAAGGGAAGCAACTCCCTGAAATAATGCTATGATTGCATGGAGATCAGTTCATTGATTTCACATGGTCTAATATGAATACTGATTGATTCATTAGAAGATGGCAAGACGTTGCAGCACTGACGACGGGGGGCTTTCATCTGTGACAAAACCCAATAAGGCAACATAAAGTTAAAGAACTAGAATAAGAATGCAGACAGACATGAGAAACAAAAAATAATTACAAATTTCAAATCAACCATTTCTAAAATTAATTTAGCAATACCTGTTCCATATCAAGCTCCAGCTTCCTTGAAAAAACTATGATCTCCATCAACTGTGTAGCATTTAATTCATAACAGTTCCCTACAACATGCCTAGAGTAATAGCTCCAAATGCCCCTTTCATCAGATGTAACACTTTTCAAGAAAAATACAGAAGGCCTTTCACAAGGATCTTTTGGATAGTCTCTGGTGTTAAACATAAATTTGGCATCAACTTTACTACCCCTCTTCCATGGCATGAAAGTTCTTTGCAGTGAAAGGAGATCAGGTAGAAGCTCATTTCCCTGAAAAACCTGGATACCAAAACCCCAAGAAACCGAGAAAGTCAAAGAATTTGATCGATCATAGCAGACAGTTTGCTGCAGGATCCTGGCAGGATCAATGTTTGCAGCCACAATAAGATGTTCCAAAGCTTGTGTTCTGTTCATGTTAGGAAAGAGAGGCTCCAACGCCTCCAAGTGATGAAGGGACAACAAAGGAGATAATGGATGTGCAGCCAGCATCCCAAACAAATTCCCCCGCATATCTAACTGGCGTAAAAAATAAATGAACAAATAATTATTTCCAAAGTCTATCATTTTACTTGCATAAGTTATAGGCTTGAATTGAAAAAATAAAGAATGCTCCAAATATAGAAGTCAAGCAGCCTAAATGAGATCCAGCAAAAGGTAATGAAAATTAAGACCACGGCAACATACTCAAGCACTACATACGATCATCAACAACAACACCTTTATCTGTAAATAATTAGAGTCGGTAGTAGATGAACCCAAATGAAAAATACGAAGGGATAAAACATAAAAATAAATATATAAAATATATATATATATATATAAGTAAAAATAAAAGGGGTGTAAAAATAAATAAGTAAGAGAAAAAAGATGGGGAAGGGTAAAAGAAGAAGGGGGGGGATGAAGAGGAAAAGGACTAAAAAGGGACCATCTGGAACATAGAAATAACAACTGATCTAACCTTCCACCATGCTTATTGCTTTTCTCCATTTTGTCTTAAGGCACACCGTCCGCCAATCTATATCTCACTTCATTAAGTCTTGTTTTACTACCTTCCCCCAAATAAGTTTCAGTCTACCTCTACCTTTGTGTCGAGCTCTTAATAACAAACTTTTGTCTTACGGGAGCATCCAGGAGCTTTCTCATTACGTGCCCAAACCACCTCAATTTATGTTCTCTCATCTTTTCAGCCACCGGTAGTACTTCTACCTTTCGTTGAATATCTTCATTTCTTATCTTATCCATCCTCGTACAACCACATATCCACTTTAACATCCTCATCTCTGCTACTCTCATTTATGTTCATGTTGCCTATATGCTGGCCAACATTCAGCTCCATATAACATTGCAGGCTTTACTGCTGTTCTATAGAATTTTCCTTTTCACTTAAAGGGAATTTTACGATCACACAAAAACTCAGATGCACTATGCCATTTCATCCACCCTGATAGCAATTAGCATTCTATGATTTACATCCTCATCAATCTCAACTTTTTTGCAAAATGGATCCCAGGTATCTAAAAGCATCTTTCTTGGGTACCTCTTGACCAAGTAGATGCACGAGATCTTGGTCTACATCTCTTACCAGAGAAAACTCACACTTCATAGACTCAGGCACTACATACAATATTTGTTTAAAATGCTAATTGCTAACGAATTAAAAGGATAAAATCTCAAACCAAATCAATAGAAATCTTGTGCCTTGCATACCTCAAATGTGCATGGGAGACAAACGAACAATTTAAAAGTTGTGGTAAGTAAATATTATGTAGACAAACAAAATTGAACATGTTGTACATTATCATTTTCATAATTCATAACTGCTCTTATCAATATAATTCTCCAACATCCGCAAAGTAATAATCTGTGGGACACACTATTTTCATAATATATGTTTGAGGAACATGTTTTGCTGTTATCAAACATTTTAACACTAAAACAGAAAGAAAAATCCCAAAGAACAACTTAATGACATGCTTCCCACACACTATTTTCACTCCCCTCCTCATTTTCCAATTCAATTTTCCCCTTTTCCACCTACTCAAACAAGCATAGCCTAAGAGAGTGGAAAACAACCCATATCAACTAGTTTCTGTCAATTAGTCCGGCACCTAATCAATCTATAAAAGGGAATAGATATTGAGTTCATTGTTCCTCATTTTGAAAATGGGAGTAATTATTCAAGAGTTGTTGGTCTAGTGGCGATCCTCCTAAATCCCAGAATTCGACTTGTCCAAAGAGTAGTGGTTTCGATTCCTAAGAATAACAACTTCTGGACAGAGAGGCTAAAACCCGAAGCTGGATTAGTTAGGAAAGGATACTTGTTTATATCTACCCAAAAAAAAATGGGAGTAACTAATAAAAAATCATAGCCAATGAATTCAACACATGCACAAGGATCAGAAGCAAGTTAAAATAACAAAATCACCAAAATGAGGATTTAATATATATATATATATATATATATATATATATATATGTATGTATTTTACCTGATGAAACCCAGGTTCATGGGTTAAACCTACACCAAGCTCAGCGAGACAAGAATAAATCCTGGAATCACTGCCATACAAATGACCGTACCTCCTCAAACACGAATCCAAAACCCTAGCTAAAACCCTACCAAGCGAGTGGCTGATCGCGAAACCACCACCCCCAAACGCCATCTCAAACGAATACTTAACATTCTGATCGTAACTCTCCGAATTGCCACCAATGTAAAACCACCGATCGTGATCGTACTTCGACAGAGTCCTCACCACATTCTCCACCAAGAAAACGGTGTCGTCGTCGCCGAATACGAACCACCGGACATCCGTCTCGTTCCGATCAACCACCTCCTTCACAACCCGGGCGACGCGGATTGCCGACCGGAGCCCTCCCCGGAAGGTGTAGGGGAAGCCGGAGGTATCGCCGGAGATCACCACCGGCGGCAACGAAGAAGAAGAAGAGGAGTTGAAAGAGGGGGAGTCGAGGAAGGCGAATGCGCGCGTTGAGTTAGGGGAATACCAGAGTCGGAGGTAGGGTTGGCGGCGTGGCCAGGACACGGAGGAGGAAGCGATGGCGAAGAGAATGTGGCGGCGCGTGGTGGGGGAGACGCGTGAGGCGATTGTGAGATTGGTGGGGTGAAACGTGGCAGAGGATGGGGCCCACAGGATGAAAAGGAGATAGAGGTTGAGGAGTAAAGAGAGGAAGAAGAGGAATGATTTGAAGGAGACAGAGAATGAGAATGAGAACGATGATGTTGTTGGTGTTCTAAGGAAGCTGGAACTAGAACTAGAAGTAGGCATTGTTGTGTCTGTGTTTGAGACAGGCAAGGTACTAGGTTCTTTTTTTCTTCGATGGAACATCTTTACTATTTTAAATTAACGTTAAAGAGTGAGTGAGGAACACGGAAACGCAGACAAACCTAATCAACCGCCAAGTTACGGTTACTCTAATAAACTTTCCAGTTTCCATAGAAGAAAGTGTTTATTGTTGTTCCTGTCAGAGACAGACCCTCTTTCTACAGTTATAAAAGTGTCCTTGGTGGAATAGCCACTGTGAGAAAATGAAGGGTGTGTTTCTTAAATGGGCCCATTGGGCTAAACCCATAGATAACCCAAATTAGTACAGTGCTCATAGCCACAACACTACCTGTTTCGATTATTAGTACTAGTCATGCTACCGGATGGGTTTCTTGATATGAGTTTTTTAAATTTTCATGGAATGATTAAAAAATATTTATTACTTCATGGATTTTCTTATATGATTTTTTTTTACGTAGTCTAAAGAATGATGCTAGTTTGAGCATGTACGATGTTTTACATTTCTTTAAGCTTGTTTGACATATAGTTTTTGTCAAATATATAATATGATATCTATGGTTAGTTTATACTATGGGAACAGATATGATTATAGAATAGCTATGCCATGTTGCGTTTGAGCGAAAAATAAATGCAAGGCAAAGTTAAACATCAACTTAGATTTGTTACTAGTTCCTTTTCTCTTTATCTGACGGGGATTCTTGCAGTATTTCCATCTTAGAGTATCGAGGAATCCACAAGGACACGCACTAGCACATTTGAAGTTTTTGGTTCACTGCAATTTTATATAGGAGTTATAAAATAACTTTCAAGTATAGTATGATAACAAAACATCATTCAAAATATCCATATGAATAATTTGAGGATTTTTTTTTTTTATCAAGCATCATGATGCTAAAATATCGGAATATCAAACACCTTGGGATATTTGGTTTCTTGAACAATGAATATATGTTTGCAGTGGTTCCTTAACACTGTAAAGAGGGTTTTCAAGTTAAATTCTATATCCTTTCAAGTATTCAGCCTTCCACTTCGTAATGAACTGCTCGTGTTTGATTTAATATTCAGAGATCAAATGTTGCATTCTGACAGAAGTTCATTGTGAACTGGCTGAATAGATACTCCTCATGCGGACCACAACGAGAGCTTATTAATTGTTAGGTTAGGCTTCATATCAAACAACTCATCTGAACACAGTAAGGGCAGCAGTTTCTTTCTGATAATAATCTTCCTTCTTTGATTTGTATAAGAATAAAAAAAAAAATCTCTCTGTTAGGAGGCCATCATTGTATGCAGCCTTACCCTTACATAATTACAAAGAGATTGTTTCCTGGATTCGAAACCATGATCTTTCAGTTATGAAAGAACAATTTTACCACTGTTCTGATTCTCCCCTTTAATTTGTATAATAGTTTTAGAAAATTTATGATGAGTCCTTTTCTGTGTTTCATGTTTATGAGCGATGAGCAAATAGTCATAAAAATATCCACTGTCAGTAAGGAAACAAAACTTCCTTGAAAGAAAAGCAACAATGTTTGTACAATTATTAAAAAATGAAGTGACCATTCCTCCAAGAAACTATGGAGGAATACTGAACACAACGATTATTAAGGGAGTTCAGAGGTTGAGATGTCAAAGGTAAATGTGATTGCTCCAGGTGAAATTGGCTTTCAGCAAGTCAACAGCAATAGTCTTTCAATCAACAGTTGATCATGATCACTATTATTCTGATGAAAATAGATGAAATCAAGAATTAACAAAATATAATTCTTCTGCCTTTGTACAATATCTTAAAAGAATGGAGCAAGGTAGAGTTAACTATTACTGTCTATTCTTACAAGGGATGAAGAAATAGAAGGCAGAAAATATGAGGTGGTGGTAGTTGCTTGCCAAACACCAGTTTCCCTTTTATTCCTTACTAGATGGTTTTCATATACGAGACATAGTACGTTGACCCTCAACTGTAAAAAAAAGGGGTTCACCATGCACATCTCCTCTGAAAACAAGAAAAAGAATGTAGACTTGTAAATAATAGAAACAGCAAAATCCAAATTTCAACATGAAAGAGAAAAGATTCTTTAAAAAAACATTACCTTGAAATTTACCACAGAAGAGGGGGGGGGGGGGGGGGGGAATGCTATATAGATCCAGCTTTATTATTTATGCAACAAAGGGTCTTATCTTATTTGCCATTTAGCAGAAGAAAATGGTAAAAAAATGAGGAACTACAGGCATCTGGCAGGAGGCACTGAATTAATATATACTTGTTTGATAACCATTTGGATATTATTCAGGTGATAAAAGTAGGATTGACATCGAGTAGAGGTATTCAGATCAATTGATTTGAAAAAAAAAAATGTTTTATAATAAAGAGGTATTTATCTTACCCTCTGTATGCTGAATTGAAACTGACTCTGATGCCACTCGAATCTGTTCAAACTTCCTGCTCCTTTATATCTCATGCCTGTTACCTCTTACACTTCCTACATATAATGTAAAACCATTTTCATTTATTTGTTTTGATCTAAAGGCAAATAATGCCTTGACTGTGCAACTTGTTAAAAGCTCTAATAGATTGGTATCAATCAACTAAGTAGTAAGGTTTGGAATAACTATCTATCTAGCTGCATTAAAATTCTCTCACGCATTCATAAGATAAACAAATCTGTTGACTAAAAATTTGGGAACAAAACAATGTATTCACAAAGGTCCAGTGATTACCTTACCAGTCAGGACCATATCTGCTTAGAAGTTCCTTGCTCCTTGAGGATCATAATCATATGCTTCACCAGCTTTCACAAATCTACCTTTCACACGTTTTCTTGTATCAGCCCTTGCTTTGCGAGAAGCATATCTTATTTGCTTACCGAACCTACACATAAGAAATGAGCATACTACATTAGGAATTTGCACCATGAAATACTTTGCTAAGAGCTGAAGATACATACCTTCTAGTTTTCTTTTTCTCATTGTATCTCATTTTAGCTTTCTCCCTGGCTTGTGGGCATGAAACCTCGAAATTTGGTTCCCACGAGGATTCACCAGTCAGAAACACTCGTGATAATCCACAATCTTGATAATCAGTAGTACTACTTTCACCAGTGATGTTGGCTAGTGAAAGTGACATGCTTGAATGAACTTGGCCCTGAGGAAATCCTAGGTTGATGTTTTCATTGAAGCTAGGATGCATAAGTGCATAATTTGGATTACTGTTGATTCCCTGCATCACAATAGTTGAGCTATCAGCTCTGGAAGACTGAAAAGCCATAGAATCTTGTTGAACTGATGATAATGAAGCCTAAAACAATCACATGGGTTACAATTAGTTTTGTGCAATTGCATCACAAGTAAACCATGTACGGATAAGAACTTTTTCAGAGCAGAATAATAAAAGAAGATAAATTTGCAAGTAACCTCCATGGCACTCTCAATAAGAGCATTAGATTCTGTAACTGATATGTTGTTTTCCATTAATTGACAGTCCATTCCTCCATTATCAAGGGAGTATCTTGTGGCAATTTGAGAAGAGTCAAATATTTCAGCACTATTTTCAAAGTTAAATTCAACATTATCCATGTTGAAAACATCGCCATCATGGATTACTAGATCATTGAAATTCGGACATTCCTGCAGCTAAAGATTTGAAAAAAAAGATAATTATAAGAAAAAACTTGGATCAAATTTCGGTTAAGAAGGATAACTACAGAGTATTGCTAGGAGGACTGGTCAAACATACAAAGTACGTTACTACTTCTGACAGTGCAAGTTCTAACCACTTCTGTCATTATTATAGTACGTTACCCTGTGAAATAATGAAATACACTATTTACATGTCAATCAACTGAGGGAGTTATAATTAAAACTAATACACATATGTTACTAATGACCAAAAAGAAAACCAGTAGAACGTTATACCTTTGGCAAGTTCTGGTAATTTGGATTTGGTGGAATAATGGAAGATTGATCCATCCAAGGTTCATATTCAACAGATGATTCTATTTCATTCAACTTGCCACTCACCAAACCAAGGGAACCATCGTTATCTTGTTGCTCCAAACACTTGCTAGTGCAGCAGTCATTTTCAGGCAATGTAGTATTAATAAGTGATCCCCAACCATGATCTGAACCACCTAAGGAAGTAGGTGCATCAAGCACAAAGGACATGAACCTAGGAAACTCAGTAAAAGAGGGACAACCCGTGTAACAATTCAAAGCCTGACGCCTATGTCCCTGCATTGAACAACCATTTTGGTCCCAATCACAACCTTGACACAGAGACAATTTATCATCCATGCAGTGGACAATTGCTGGCAGAGAATTGCATTTATCACACAGCAGAGAACGTGAATGCCTGCGAGACAAAGCATTTGCAGCATGCACACACGCATCACAATCCAAGCACAAACGTGCAGAATCTGCCTTGCAATAAACCACAGCTCTTACAACCCCACAAAACTCACATAGAGGTTCCATGATCCTCTAATATCACTCAAAAATTCAGCTTTGTCAACGTAGCTCCAAACCTTTTTCACCATTTCAAGCAAACAAAGAAGAAATCAAATCACCATTAGAAGAAAATAACAAAACAAAACACCCCTTTTAAATAAAAAGCATAAATTAAATCAAAATTTAATCCAAACATTAGAATAATTTGTTATAAAAATTTACCATAATCCTCTCCCAGTAATGGATGGAGCAAAAAAAATGAAAGATCAGGGAACACAAATGAAAGGTTCTGTTGGGGAATGGTTGAGAATGAGAGAGAACTTAGACAGTTACATTTGTTGTTATTTATACATGATCTTAGGTTAGACAGGTGTCAGACACGTGGCGAAAATTGAGCTAAGGAAATAGATGGGTGTGGTGACGTGGAGAGTATGATGGTGGAAGAGTTCAGCCTTTCAACTCGGAAACTGTATCTGCTAAATTAAGTGGAAGCAGATTTTTATGCGTGTTCATTCTGAATGGAGAACACACGTGGGATTTTGAGCCAACACTTCTCTCATTGTGGTTCAGTACCATACCAACGTGTTACTTTCTTTTAGCCGAAAACAAGGGTCACAGATAATGCTGAGTTGTCAAACTTGAACTCACTGTAATATAAATTTAATTATGCTATGAGTTGAAATATGTCATATGAGTTGAAATAACTTTAATTATCTACTTAGTCTTGGAAAAAAAAAAAAGCCTAGCTGACGACCCATGTAAAGCAAAACTAAACTCATGATTAGTTCTGCAACGGCCTTCATAACCTAATTGTATACGGATTCACTTAGTGTCCGTTTGCACTGACTTATAAAAAAAATTCTTTTTATGACTTCTTTATTTTAAAAGTACTTTTTATAAAAGTTATAATTATTTAGATTTTAACTTATGCTTTTTTTAGAAGCTAAAATTTTTAGCTTTCGAAAAAAGTAAATTTTTGACTTTTTTTATGACTTCTGCTTTTTTTAAAAGCATGCATTCAAACAGATTTTTTTCGAGAAATACTTTTTTTTCTTAAAAGTAACTTCTGAAAAAAAAAAAGCTCATAAGAGCTAATTAAGGAATTATTTTCTTAGATCTCTTATTCCCTTACACAACTCATTCTTGATACACGATAGTGATGCAATTCCTCGTATACATGAGTGAGGTAGTGAATAAAACAATTAGGCTTTTTCTTTTTTGAAAATATTCCAATCGGTTCATTGCTTCGGAACTAATCCGATTCGGAGCGGGTCCAGAATTAAGGCTTTAAACCCCTCCCAAAAGTGATACTGGGAAGATTCGAACACATGCTCTCACTTCCACCTACTTAGCTTCTATGCGCCAACTGAACTACCACCATTTGGTACAATTAGGCTTTTTCTCTTTCAAAACAAACATCTTACATTCATAATCCTTACACATTATCTCTTTTATTGTCTATTTGGTATGTCTTTTTTTTGTTTTTTGTGAGCTATTTGGTATGTCTTCTTTTTGGCTTCTCTTATCCTTAAAAGCATAAATTTAGCCAAATATATTTTTATAAAAACATTTATTATAAAAAGAATTTTTTTAATAATGAAGAAAAAAACTAAAAGATCCTAAAAGGAGCTCTTTTTTTAAATATATATCAACTTTTTTGACTCATCATATTTATTTTATAATTTTACATTTATTCTAAATTTATATTTATAAATTCTATCCTTCCCTAATAATGCATCCTAATGAGAAATTATTTTATCTTCTATCATTCAAAACCATCAGAACAACTTTATATAATTACTAAACCGCTTTTAGCTTCTTTTTTTTAACTTTAGTTTGAAAGTAGCTTTTAAGTTAAAAAAAGAGAGGCGTCAAATAGGCTCTTAGTCATACTTGAGATAACAAGTACGGTAACTCCTCTAGAGTTTTGTTTCATATAATTGCCTCCTTGAGCGCTTGTATAGTGAGATACTTTACCCTCAAAGGAATACAAACCTAGCTCAACTCCACAACCGCTCATCACCCATGCTTGAAAAGAAGAAATTTTATTTTGTAATTCATTAAATAATATTTAAAATTTAATCTAAAGGCATATTGTACAACATTTACCCATTGTACATGAGAGTTACAATTAGCTAAATATATTTTTAAAATAATATTAATTGCACCTTTAAAAATAAGGCATTGGGTTTATAGTATTTTCATTTATATGATTTTTATTTAATATATTTCTTTTTAATATGGGACTTTATTATTAACAGTTGAATTTCCAACAATCTTCCCCTGAAGTAAGGGTCATATAACTGTCAATTGCCCTCAAATGAGGGCTTCTTCGAGTATTCATGGGTTACTAATTAAGAATGGGCAAATCTAGATTTCAGAATGGGTCCAAGATGACACAAACTCAAATACCACCCATCATATCCAAATATTCAGACAAACCAATTACTTGGTTGACATATTCAATCAACCATTAATTTTGATAACACTGTTATCCAGCCAGGGGAACCCAAAATAAAGGAGACTAGAATCCATATATCAATAGTGGACAAGTCTTGGTTCTAGAATATGAGATCAGAATGATAAACTCAAACACCAATCATTGTATCCAAATACTCAGCCTAACCAGTTACTTAGCTGGCACATGCCAATCAGCCATCGGCTCTGATAATGTTGTTATATATCCAGAGAACCTAAAAAATGGGGAAAACTATCATTTATGTATCAATAGATTAAGCGACAAACCATAGTAAGTGGATTCAGCATCACATCTCAACTCAACTCAAAACCTTAAGATGATAGATTTTATTTTATGAGTCATTTCATGTAATGGCCCGTCTGTAGCCGGTTAATTAACATTTATATGATAGTAAGCGCAACATGCTCAACTTAATTAATGCGGAAGCTAACTGAATAAATTTTCTCTTTTTCCTTATGTATTGCAAACATTTTCACTTCCGTGGCCAAAATAAAACGGACAATATTTTCTCTGTATTTTGGACCACTAGGGATAATTCCCACCAAAATAACTTCAACCTGATTGACAGTTTAATATAATCCAAGCATACAACATATTACCCAGTCATCCATGGCATAGGCTATCCCATACATAACAAGTCTCAAAATAATATCCATAGAGTTACTTACATGATTACATCAACCAACCAAAAGAGATGTAATCAAATAAGTAACCTAGACATATACAGACATAACTAACAAAATAAATAAACTATCAACATGACAGAGACATCTCCTATGCTCTCAAAATAATGACATGGCATATAGATACATATCCAAAATAAATTCATGCCAAATACTCATCACCATATCAATCAAATCATACTATCATGTCAGATAGTATCTCTCCTCTGGCCTCTCGCCACGCGATGCCTTAGCACCATCAGCTCCTGTACCTGAAATGATAATCCTCATAACGCGGGGTGAGATAATATAATTACCTCAGTAAGCTAGGGACCCTTGGAGGGCTCCTCCACCCTTAAGCTCACTTCTGGTATAAACACAGTATAAAAATCCATGCATGCATCAGAATATATATGACAATGCAGTGTGCAATAATGTAATCCTACTGGCCAGAGAATATAACAAGTATGCATTGTGCAAGGAAACACCGTCTTGCAACATACCGTATGAGGAAACATTGTCTCATACTATGCATAAGGAAACATCGTCTTATGCCTCACACAAGGAAACATCGTCTTGTGTGGCACACAAACATACATACATATACATGCAACATATAACATCATTTTCACATACCATATCAAACTACCACCCTCCCTTGGAGTTTGGTGGAACAAACGGGGGATTAACCCCAAAGACCAAAAGCTTACCTGGAATAGCTCTTTTTCTAGCCTCTTCCAAGCAAAGGTCCACAAGCCAACAAAATACTCAACAAATGACCAACACACCTATCCATGGTGAAGTTATCACAATTAAACATATATCAATTTCATATAAGTTTCACATCAAACCATTGTTTGATACTTACCTCAATCTCAAGTAATCAAGAGCCTTGCTCAATCTCCATGCTCTTGCTCCACAAATCCACTTGGTCTCTCACTATAACCAAGGAACACATTTACATCATTATCTATTATCAATTCATATATACTGTACTGTTCATCTCTACAGTACTATTCATGTATACGTCATTATTCATGTATACGAAACTATTCAAAAATACGGTATCTTTAATTTTTTCGAATACATTTTCACCGTTAAAATCCTTATCTAAACAATTTTCTCAACATGAGCTGAGCCTCAATCAAGCTTTAACATGCTCAATCAATCCAAATTTTCAAAGTGGAAAACTAAATTCAATCTTCCTTAAAACTCAAAGAAAACTAGGATTTCTTAACATAAACTTACCTAGAACAGAGGGGAAAGCTTACTTCAAGCTCTCATGGCTTTAAACTCCAGCAAAATCCCCATTTTCCATGAAATCCAAAATCTTAGAGGAAGAAGATCTCTCTCTAAAGTGAAACCCAACCAGAAATACTGGTACCAATGGATTTCTTACAAGTTGGCTGAAGCTTCTAGGACACTTGGAGTTGGATAAATTTCATTGGCTGATAGTTTGACAATTAAGTGAATTAACTAGGATAGTTGAAAGTGACTATAGTTATTTTTATATCGCCAAAATCGATCACTTTGTTTCTTGTAGTGTCCCACGAAATCTTCTTCTGTCCTTGTCTTCATTTTGTTCTCCATGACCGTATGTTCCCATGAAAGGGACCAAGTGTTGCGAAAAATCGGCAAGTGCACTGATCGTTCCAAGTAATAAAGTGATAAGAAAAGTATCGTCTCCACAGGGATTGGGTCGAATATCAATTAATTGTTCCTTGTAAGAATGGAAGAACAAGAGTTGATTTGAAAGTAATGGTGTTTGTAACAATTATGAGTTATTCAATAATTTATGAAAATTTCAAGAGAAGTTGAAAACTTAAAGCAAAAGGGGTTGAGATTTGAGAAAATATTGTAAGAAAACTATTGCAGTAAAGGATGCCAACACCTTTCCGATCCCCACCTTGTAATAATGATTAATATTTGTGTTTAATTACCCAATTGATCAAACAATTCACCATCTATAATTAATTAGTTAAGCCCTAATCCCTTAGTGATCTTAACCTTATTAACCCTATTAGAATCCTAATCCCTTAGAAATCCTTTTTCAAGTTAATCTTTAAGCCCAGTGAATTTTCACATTTGCAGTTCATATAGCCTATCCCTAGTGCATACATGAACTGTTATTTTACCCTTTGTCAGGAATTAGAATC